CGTTTATATTTAGTGTAAAATTCTATTCACAACAACAAATAACATAACCAACCAAATATTGTTAAATATTCATGATTCATCATTTCACTTTTTATATTAAGGTCAAAGTTTTGACATTTCTATTTTTAATTTTTAGATGAATATGGAGGAGTTTTCCCACTCCTATCATTATTGTCCATGGTGGCAATCTATCATGGTAATAATGGACACGTTGGTGCTAACATGGCAATAGATAATAGAGTATTAAAGGACACCTGAGTTTGCTATCGATTTTAAGTGTTTTTATTTAGGCCAAAAAAATGAGTAGCTAAAACTTTTATGTTGTAAGTTAAAGAATTGATACTTTTATAATAAGTAAAGTGGAGGGCTGGCCATGGATTTTCACCTAATAGGCTTATGGTGCCCAAAGTCTCAAATTGTAAAAAGTTGAAACGTCAAGTTTGAAGTCTTAGAGGTCGCATATTCGAATCTTTAAGATGGGTCGGAGGAGATTTTGGAAAATGAAAGTGTTATTCTCAATTATAAAGTTGATAAAAATATCTAATGATCCTTCCTGCAATTTTCTTGTACTGAAGTTGCTCAAAGCTAGCTAGAACAAATCGATAACAAAGGTGATGGTCCCCATTCCGAAGAACTGACTATATTACAAATCCAAGCAACAAACAAGCATAAGATTAATATGTTACTTCACATCCAAATCCCAATTACTTTGTCAGCATTCAAATCCAGTTGTTTAGTTGCAGTTAACTGCATTCTTTAGTGTGCAACTGGAACCAACATACTACAATGTAACGAACTTAACCTCAACCCCATCAACTGGCTTTGGATGTGACAGATAAATCATCTCTGCATCTGGATTGAGTAGTTCCCACCTGAAGTTTGGTGTAAAATTAAATTGATTAATGTGTCATTAATTTACAACAAAGATAGATATCACATATATATAATGTTGATCACTGATCACTTTACCTGTATCCAACAGATAAATGGTGAAGAAAGAGTGCAAGTTGTATCCGAGCAAGCATGTTCCCAGCACAGATTCTTCGTCCACCACCAAAAACCTGATACGCACCAGGCCTTGCCGGCCCCTAATTAAGAAAGCAAAACCCAAGTTCTTAAGTTAAAGAACTTATCTTTGTTAAAACATGTTAGGAATAGGTGCTTACATTCCATCTATCAGGGTTAAAGCACATTGGATCATCAAAGTTCTCTGGATTTGTCTGGAAATATCGAAACCACAGAACTACTTTCCAGTCTTTTGGTATTACATACCCTGCATTTTTATTTACACAAGTATAAAACTTAATTAGCTTAATAACTGCTACATTATAAGTTTATAACTGATACTAATTCTATTTCCAATCTTCTGATATCATAGGTTAGTACGATACCTTTATATTCTACTTCTTGGGTAGTTAATCTAAAACCAAATGCGGCAATGTTGGCCATTCTAATTGTTTCTTCCACAACCTGAAAAATGTAAACAAAGCAGTTTGGGGCAGCGAGTGTCAAGGTTCATGACTCCATGCTAACCATATAAACGCATCCTATAAATAAATCAATAAGTGCTATGCCAACTTAAAACAAGTGAGCAAACCTGGTTGGTGTATTTCAATTTAGAAACATCTTCACTTGTAATGAAATAATCTTGCTTGTTCTTTCTCATAGCCCTGTTCTCGTCCTGCAGTTTAATGGGAGAATATCAAGATTAAGCACTACTTAGCAAGGAGATAATAATGCATTCAACTCTTTCTTTCATTTTTCATTCCCAATAACATGACATGAGTATTTGGACCTTTGAAATAATGCATTCAATTCAAACTCATATATAAAACTAAAATCTGATTACCATACCCGCAGCTTTTGGAGTACAGTGGGGGACTTGGCAAGAAAATAGACAGCCCACATGGTTGCAAGGGAAGTAGATTCATAGCCAGCAACAACAAGACTGACAATATTATCCACTACCTCTTGATCACTTAATGTATTACCTTCATCATCTTTCATTTGAATCAATCCATCCATTAGGTCATTTGTCTTCTGAACTCCATTATGGTTCTTCTTCTTCTTCTCTAGCTCCACCCTAAATATTGCCTCAAGCTTCTTCCTACACTGCAATTTGCATATTTAAAGCATCATACAATGTGCTCTAGACCATACCTTTAAAAACTACAATTAACATTATCACTTGGTGAAACCAAACACAACTGAGTTTTGATAACAGCAATAAAAACTATTTAAGCTGAGTTGGTGTACCTTAATTCTGGGATTAGGTCATGTTCAAATTTATGCAATAGCTAAGAAGTAACTAGTACCTTGGCATTCATGGTCTGGCTCAAATGCTGGATTACACATTTGAATGATTTTCAATATCATCTAGGAATTAGCTAAATTTGCTTCTGCTCTTAATTTTAGCTGATACCGACCAATTATTCTTCTCTATTTCCACCAGACAAGTGTAAATTAATTGACTTCAAACATAAGTGGTACAGTCCAGTACATTGCAGAAAGTTTGATGATAAAAGAACATTACTGAGAATCAAAGTTGGCATTCTGATCTAACCTTGAGAGCATGGTGATAGGCAGTTCCCGGAAAATTCAGTGGTTGGGCTCTAATTCCTTTAACCACCCCACCAAACAATCGATCCATATCATCTAGAGCAGGACCCGGTTCCAAGCTTGCAAATAATTTTCCAATGTTCTCAAATGTGAGCTGTTAGCAAATTATTGAACCAAATCAAAACCCTAATAGCTCCAATCCTCAGACACTTGACAAAAACAATAATACCCAAAAAAAGGAAATTCACCTTCTTTACTTGATCAAATGTTTTGATTCTACCCATCTGTGCCCATGACTGGAGTGAAGCGACCATGCGAGGTTGCACCGCGACGGCAATCCGGCGGAGACCATCAGGCCCGTTGATGGCATTGGAAACGTAGCTCCGGATTCTGGCATGTCCAGTCCCATTAACGGCGACCAGAGAAGTAAGACCGACGAGATCAACATTGGGCCACTTCAGTGGAAAGACGTCCTCTGATCTGTAAAAGAACTTGACTGCCGATGGGGAGCATGCTATGATGGATGGTGATCCAAACAGGTAGCTCCTGTATATTCCTGCACCGTCGCCGTACCTGACTATCAAGTTGAAAGAAATGTCATGGGCATTCCGTTTTAGAGACCTTTCGGCCCAACCAATATCTTGTGGGCAACTCTGACAAAAAAAATATTATACAGAAATTAGGGGCATATCAATTTAAAATTTTAAAAATAATTACAGTTTTAATTTATAT